AACATCATGATTATACTAAGAATTATGTTGCTTTAATTTGGATAGATATTATTGGATTTTTTTTTTTTAAAATTTCTATTGGGTTCTTGTTTATTAAGATTTCTATTTTATCTAATCTCTATTATTTTGATTCTGTTGGAGTGAGTATTCTCTATATATATATTTTTTTTTTAAAACCAAGCGAACTTAAAAATACAATATCTGAACTTGAAAATAATTTAAGAAAATTTAAATTTTATGAAGCTTTGGAAAATATTACTCTAATTAAAATAATCAAATTTATAAACACCACATAGATACAAATTCCAAAACTACAAGACGGCAAAAAAGAATTCCAAAACTACCGGATCGAAGGTTCAAAAATATGATTGAAGAAGATTTTAGCCTTTTTAAAAAAAAATTATCTGATTGAAGATGTCAAATTGTTTTTTTTTGTTTTTAACTTCTAATTCATCCATTAATTCGGAAATGAATACAAAAGTGTATACATACATCAAATAAATACAAATTAAACAGCACATAAACAAACACATAATTTATCATCAAACTGAACGACGATGAAAGGAATTTACACGATGCTTTCAAAAAGAAAGTCTTATTCGCTAACGAATTACCACCGAATCCATTATTTTTCTTGTTCAGATTTAATTTCAATATGATGAGACCGTCGTTCTTGTTATTGGCTATCATCTTTTGAATGAAACTCCGTAATCGTCTATTTATTCCCATATTATCAGTCTTTTCCTTTTCATCAATTCGTCGTGACTGCATAGATATAACTTTCCGGGATCCCATATTCGTCGTGTCTAGACACCGTTGAAGATGTCAAATTGTTTTCTAAGAGACTTCGTGGTGAAAATAATTTTAAATAACAAGTGAAAGCTATTTGTATCTTTTTTTTTGCTAAGAATGTAAATCAAAATAAAGCTATTTGTATCTTCAATATATCTAATTGTCTTTTGAATATAAGACATTACATCGACCGAGATTGTTGCAACACATGTTGAAGACAAACTAACAAAACAAAAATGTTGATTCCTGTATATGTTTTACATCTGTATATATCTTACACACACAAACCCAAATGATAATATCTCTCATATGTTAAAAACAAAAATATCACGAAATATTAAATAAAAAACGACGACAAAAATGCAAGCTGCAAGCAATAGTTTTAGTGACAAAGCCGCACCGTGGTAACGGTCGCTTCAGCAACAGCCGGAGCCTGTGGTGCTCTCTTTCAGGCCTCCGTTCTTGCACATCCGGTGACGGTAGTAGAAGAGACATAAGATGAATATTATCAAGAATATTACTCCAACCACTATGTCGATAATCTTCAAAGGAGTCATCGATCGGTTTTTGCTTTTACTTGTAAATTATAAATTTGATTGTTAGAGAGAAACAATAATCTCTCTGTCTCTTTTTGTAGTTTTTCCGAATTGTATACAAATAATTTTTTTGGTGAAGAGCCATTTTTGTGACTTTGTATTTGGTAGTTGACCCCTTTGTTTTTTATAATTATAATATTTAAGGGAATTTAGGTTGGGTAAAATGTGCCGATTAAGCTAGTAATTGAGGATTGGTTCACAAAAACGGTTATTTGAGAATTGTGATTTAACCATTGTCCAAGTCTTTGGCTTGTATGTTGATCTTTGACAAAATATAGTTTTGAGTATTTTAATGGTTTTGCAAAATGTTTATCATTAAATCATGAGAAGTCAACTAACATAAATAAATTTTAGTTGGTATACACATGGATGGAATTGGCATTAGATATGTATTATTTATACAATATTTTCACTATATATAAATATTGTTTTCTTCATACCTAACTCTAAAGTTAGTTAAATTGTTCACTATAAGAGACTTTCAATCAATTCTCCCAATCAAGTTTTCTTAGTTGGAAATACCCAATCCAATACACCTTATGCATAAACAAATTTGCATAAGTACTTAGAACAATCTTTGAAATTTCAAAATAAACAGACTTAACCAAAGAAATTGGATGTAAAATTCGAAAATAACGCATCACCGCAGTTATGGTTAAGTTTAAAGTTAACCGCCGAAATCGCCACCATAACCACTGCCGAGACAGGCGATGCTTTCTTTGCCATCTTTCTTAGCTTTGTGGTAGAGAAAATGAATGAGCCATAAGATGAATAAAAGCAAGAGAAATGACCCAAACACTATAAACAAAATCCCCACAGGACTCATTTTATCG